AGGAAGACGAGGGGGGGTGTTTGGTTAGGGGGCTGGGTTAAGAGATTGATTTTATATAGGGGAGGGGTGGTTTGATCTTGGCCATTCGATCAAGAGAGATCGAAGGTCCAGATCAGTTCACTTAACTCAAACAGTGTCGTTTGGAGTAGTACTGGGGCGGTCCGGGTATTGGAGTGACGGGTCGGGGGTCGGGTTTGATCAAAGCTTTGGAACCGTTTGATCAGCTGAGATCAACGGTCCAGATTGAAACGCCCGAAACGGCGTCGTTTGGTTGAGGCTGGAGATAGGTTGGATTGGGGCGGGTATTGGGCTGACTTGGTGTGACATTGGGCCTGGATTTTTCCTTTTAAAACTGGCCCAATCCGAATTTTTTTTTACCCCTCCTATCTTGTTTCCTCTTTTCCCTTTTACTTTCTTTTTAATTCCTAAAACCAAAATTCCTAAATTAATTTGTAAAATCAAGCTTATTTAAAAAGAAATTAATTAATCCTTAATAATAATTAACATACAAAATCAAATATTGATTAAGATAAAATCACGCAATTAAACAATGAAATGACAAAGTTACCAAAATTCATATTTTTGTGATTTTCATTCTTTAAAATAGGACATGGTTTAATTAATTCCAAAATGCGTAATTAAATCCTAAATGCACATGCAACACATATATATTTTTTATTTTTCTTGTTTAAGGTAGAAACAAACATGCACACAAAAAAAAATACAAATAAATCACTAACAACACAAAACTATTTTATTTTGAATTTTTGGGAGTAGTTCTCATAGGGCAAAAATCACGTGCTCACAACTAGTATATAAATGGGGCATTCATTTATAATTCACCAAGCAAACAATTCAAGTTCTCTCTAATACAAAGTTTCTTTTAACAATTCTCTTGTGTTCTTTATATCATTCTCTTAACGATGTTGAGTGCAGTAAGGATGACTTGGCATAGTAAGAACATGAACAAGTTGTACAAGATCGTCAGCGAATTGTCAAGTGTCGCACGTACACTTAGTTAACGACTAAGGACGTGACAATCAATTCAAAATAAAAAGTTTGTCCCTTCTCTATTGGTTCTAATCCAATTAATTAAATCTTATCACATACAACCACCCAAATTAGTACACTATTTAAAACCAATTCTAGACAGATGGGACCATCATGTCCTCCTGAGGAAGACCACAAATAACCCATAAGTTGCAACACTTAATCCCCACATAAAAAGCCAACCTTTGATACACAAAGTACAACTCACGAATACAACAGCTCCACCTTTTGTTCGCTGTTTATATACATGTTTTCCGTTGGATAACGACACAACATGAAATGAAATGTTGACGGCGTCACGTCCTTCTATAAATTCCTCAACACTTCCCACGAGCTGTTACCTCCCTCCGGCTCCATTCTATATTTACATATATTTCTTAGATTTTTCTGCTTCCTTTTGCTATATATTAACGTAAAAACGGAAGCTGTGAATCTGAAATTTCCCGTTTTCAAGTGCTTCAGAATCTCCTCATTGGTCGTTGGCGTAAGATTTGCCGTATTTCTACTGAAGATTAATGCCAGGATTCTTCGCTCCTCTTTTTTATTTGATTTGATCTGATATCTCTGGGGATTTGCTTAATGATTTTCCCGTCTATTTTCTCTTAATTATTTGATCCAAATATGTAACAAGAACAGAGCAAAGCAGATTATTGCTCTGGAAACCATTTCACCAGTGGGTTTCATCTGATTATCAACTCCAGTAGTCGTTTGAGGTATGAAATATTTCTGTTTCTAAAATTTCTTCTTTTTTTAATTAATGTATTCGATTCGATTTTTTTAAAGTCTTCCTAAGTTACATATATAATATTAAAAAATGAATAGGAAAAATTTTCGACTAGTGCGCACTAATTTATCATATTCTTTAATTTGTGCACTAGCGAGATATTGTTTACTCCGGCTTAGTGGTCTCGTTGTTTTACCGAATGGAGATCAATGTGATATTCTCAACTAAGACTCAGGTATGTTATCCACAATAAAAAAGAGTTCAACTATTTAATTTCCATATGGTAATTTTTGAATATTAAGCTTTAGTGTTGTTACTTCAAAAGTTGGAGTGTTGGACCAATGTTTTAAAAGGCTAGGGCGTGAGTCGGAGCGTTTTACTTAATATGTGACGAGGCGAAAGCCTCGAAACACAGGACGTAAGCCCCGCGAATTTTTAATTTTTTAATTTATGAATTAATAATATAGCATTATAACACAATAAAATATAAATGATACATTATAAGTTCAAGAAAACTAAAAAGAATTAATGAAACTCATATAAAATAAAATATTTAGCATGTTTTAGAAGTATAAACAATATAATATTGTTAAAGTTACTATGAAATATAAATTACCTACAACCTCTTTACTTTCGAACAATTAAAATTATAATTTCTTGAAAAATATTACTTCTGCATATTTTGTCTCTTTAAAAGTAAATACTCAATAAATTTTATCAACGTTGTAATTTAAAATACTACTCCTTCATGAGTAAATATAAAATAATTTTTAAATAGTAAAATAAGAAATATATGATAATTTTGAGACATAGAACTAAGATGTGAAGATCTATCAAGTAAAGGTATAAATTTTATTTATCTATTTTTTTAGAAAAAATATTCAAATGATATTCACCTTCACGATATTCTCAATTAGTAAATATGCAATAGTATAGTTCGTTATTTGAGTTATTCACGATTTTTATATTCCTATAGATAAAAAGAACTTTAATTATTCTTTGTTAAAGAATTTTGAGAGTCAATAGTGCATATTAGTGAATTCAACACATGATTTGCAGTTGAACTGTTAGGTGTGTCTTCAACGTTAAGTGTTAGATGTTTTTAGGGCACACAGTTGAACGTTTGGGAGCGTAAGTCTCACAGAACTAAAACTCACACATAAATCTCAATGCGTTTTGATAATGACCCGTTCCGGGACGAGTCCCAAAAAAAAGCCCTTTAAAACACTAGTTTTGAACCGCCAAATTATCTTATGTTTTTGTTTTGGGTTTGATGGTTTTGTTAACTTGTTACTTAGTGGAATAGTTTGTATGGTTAGGTTGGTCGCAGTCGAAAAAGAGTAGGGAATTTTTAGTAGTTTGTCCATTGAATGGCCGCTTTCAGAGGTCGACAACCGCTGGTTCATCTCTAAAGCGATTGGTCATTCATTCTCCAGACCAGAATTCCCATCTTTCCCATTCCAACTTCTACTCTGCAGCTGCTGCCATATATATTCCTTTTCTCTCTCTCTTGTCTCTACCTGCTTTAGTTTCTCTCTCCATATTGATTGATATATGTATGTATTAGTGTACGTACGTATACATTGAGTAAGGAAAGCAGAATATATAAAAGGGATAAGTTTTATTTTGTGTGTCATGTAACAAATTAAAATTTTCCTATAAAAGGGGCTTATTGTAATGAAGAATGACCATTATGAATATGTGTCAGAAACTTCCGTTCTAGTCTCTATACTGTCTACTCCCTCCTTCCCAAGTTGTGTGGCAGGCATGGAGTTTTTAAATAATAGGAGTACTATCTTTTTAAAAAAAATTATGATATAAAATTAATTACTATATATTTTTTGTAACTATAAATCATCTCATTTTGAATAAGATTAAAATTTTAAAGTTATATTAAATAAAAAAAGTATAATACTTATTATTTTTAAGATAGACTAAAAAGAAAAATATAACACATAAGTTAAAACAAAAAGGGTAAATAAAATCTTTTGATTTTGAGCATTCAATACATAAGTGCCACCTAAATTTTTCCACACACGTTTAAGAGGCAACTAATTTTTTTCCAATTAATTTTTATCTACTACTCCCTCCAGTCCGCTTTAAGTGATTTTTTTGGTTGTTTTCATACATATTAAGAAATCCACCTTTTACCATTAATTAACAATGTAATTGATCATATTAACTTTAATTTGTTTATTGAAAATACAACAAATATTCCGAGGCTCTTTACTCTAATGACAACTTTAAAAAAAAGAAGTTAATTCTTTAATTTCTTGATATTTGAAAAAATTAAATATTGTGGACTACAAAAAAAAACCAAAAAGTCACCTATAGCGGACCACAGGAAGTTATAGAGTAAAAGTTTTAAGAGATTTTTAAAATTTTGAACATGGGTTAGTAAAAAGATTATACTTTGATTTGGAAGATGATTTCAGTAAACCTACCTTTTAATATATGTCGTCCAATTTATTGTCCTTTCTCTTTAGTTTCCTACTATTGCCATTTTTGAACAAGTCAACGTACGTAGTGGTCCAAATTTTCACAAATGTTTTCCACCCAAATGTCAAATATGTGGGATAGCAGGTTAATTACCAACTTGTAGAATTACTCTACTTTTTAGTTCACATTTTAACCTAAAACTTCAACGGATCAATTTGAATTTTCTTTATCCAGCTTTTCTTTAGGAAATAATATCATTTGGTATGAATGTTTTTACCTTAAAAGATTGTGAGTGAAAATAAATGCATATCCTCCCAATATCTCGTTGTAATATTCAAAATCATTACTCTGCATTGTCATTAAAGGAAAGTTTATTATCTAAACTGATCTTGTTAGCAAAACACACAAAATGAATATCACAAAATCAGTGTTATATAATGATTGGTTATTTATGTTTGATGATTCGTTAGTATTTTTCATTTAATTTGCAGTTAGAAGAAGAGAGGAGAATATAGAGATCGAGTAGAAGAGAGGAACAAATTAAAAGAAAAGAGAAAATGTTGACATGTATCACATGTAAGCAAAAGGTGGAAGATGATGGTGGAGAAGAAGTTCCCAATACTAAAGATTCTGTCAAAAGTCTGACGGCTCAGGTTCTACTCCTACATATCTTAAGGACAATCAAACAGTTATATCACTCATGTTTTAGACAAGACAAGTGCTGTTAATTCTGTATTAATCTATGATTCTTTTGGGGGATAATAGTAGTGTTTGGACCAGTTTACACACACTTCGACTATCCATATACTTGCTATCTAAGTACTTAGTGAATTTTCCCACTAAAGCTTAACCATATTGAAGAAATCACCTAACGTTATTTGTCTCTGCTGATATTTGATCTAAACTTAAGCTCTGATATTTCTTGTGCATCATCTTATTAAGAACCCATTTTACTCATTGTGTACAGCTTGAGAACTACTACTCTATATCTTATTATGAACATTTGATTTTAATCATTTGCAGATAAAGGATATAGCATTGAAAGTCTCGGGTGCTTATAGATGCAAGTCAAGTACGCCCACAAGCAGTTACAGGAAAGGGCATAGACCATATCCATATCCGGATTTTGATGCAATCTCAGAGGGAGCTTGTTACCATTACCAAACAGGAAGTTCAAATTCAACTCCAGCTTGGGATTTTACGAGTACCGGTCATCTCCAAACACCAGCTAGACCTGATTCAAGATTAACTGGAGGATTAGGTGATGATGTGGTGCTAGAAGAAGAGGATGCTAAAGAGTGGACAGCACATGTGGAGCCTGGCATTCAGATTACTTTTGTTTCTCTCCCTCGTGGTGGAAATGATCTTAAAAGAATCCGCTTTAGGTAACTATTCGTCATCTCTCGCTCTCTCCTTTTCATTTTTTATGGCAGCATTTGATTGAGTGCGGGAGTTAAGAAAGAATGAAAGAGTCCTGACATATATCTAAAGTATCCTTAGAACTTGTGGCCTTAAAACATTTCTATAGTTATAAGAGCATGTCACTTCACTAAAAGTTAAATGAGAAGTTTAAAGAGAAATAGTTTCCAAATTTGGATATGTGTTGTTCTTTTTTGGAACAGAGTAAGAAGGAAAGAGTATCACATAAATGGAAAAGAGGAAGTATCAAAGAGTATGGGAAACATGATATGTAAACATTCTTATTTGGATAATGCTAATAAACGGGTAATGGAGATTAATATAAGTATATAGCTAATCCCAACTAGCTTCGTATTGAGGCATAGTTGTTATTCTTTGTTAAAATGATTATTTTATCATTTAGACGTTAATTTGACTCGTTGTTTTAATTTGAAGTCGTGACATGTTCAACAAATGTCAAGCTCAAAGATGGTGGGGTGAGAATTTTGACAGGATTATGGAACTTTACAATGTTCAGAGATTCAATAAGCAAGCTCTTAGCACTACCTCACAGTCTGAGGATGGGGTATGCCAGCTTCACCATCTTGCAATTTATTTACTTAACTGCAGCATTGAGCTCAATGTTAATCTTGATCATCGATTATAAGTCCATGCAGATTAGTTCAAATTATATTCATGAACAGCCACAGTACATCAATGCTTCTACTTTCCTAGTATAAAAGTTATGTTGCTCGGCTCCTCCAATAATGCCGTCGTACCCGTGTCGTATCTTCCAAAGATGCATTGTTTTTGGAAAATCTGACACCGGTGCAGCAGCATGTTTTGGAAGATTAGAACAACATAGCATAAAACCACTTAAGGCGAATATAACTTGAGTTGTTCAACTTGTATAAGAATATGATCACCAGCTGAAGTAGCGAGCCAAGTACCTCCAGTACTTTGTTAATTAGCCACTCAGATTTGGAAGATTTATCAACGCAACATGAAGCAAGCACAAGTTAATGAAATTTAAGGTCTTTTTATGCAGAGAGATTCAAATTATTCAAGGCTTGGTTCTGCAAGGGAAAGCCACCAATATAACGGCGGATCAAATGCTTATGCCTCTAGTTTCCCCAAGGGTAGCGAGCCAAGTACCTCCAGTACTTTGTTAATTAGCCACTCAGATTTGGAAGATTTATCAACGCAACATGAAGCAAGCACAAGTTAATGAAATTTAAGGTCTTTTTATGCAGAGAGATTCAAATTATTCAAGGCTTGGTTCTGCAAGGGAAAGCCACCAATATAACGGCGGATCAAATGCTTATGCCTCTAGTTTCCCCAAGGGTAGCGAGCCAAGTACCTCCAGTACTTTGTTAATTAGCCACTCAGATTTGGAAGATTTATCAACGCAACATGAAGCAAGCACAAGTTAATGAAATTTAAGGTCTTTTTATGCAGAGAGATTCAAATTATTCAAGGCTTGGTTCTGCAAGGGAAAGCCACCAATATAACGGCGGATCAAATGCTTATGCCTCTAGTTTCCCCAAGGGTAGCGAGCCAAGTACCTCCAGTACTTTGTTAATTAGCCACTCAGATTTGGAAGATTTATCAACGCAACATGAAGCAAGCACAAGTTAATGAAATTTAAGGTCTTTTTATGCAGAGAGATTCAAATTATTCAAGGCTTGGTTCTGCAAGGGAAAGCCACCAATATAACGGCGGATCAAATGCTTATGCCTCTAGTTTCCCCAAGGGTAGCGAGCCAAGTACCTCCAGTACTTTGTTAATTAGCCACTCAGATTTGGAAGATTTATCAACGCAACATGAAGCAAGCACAAGTTAATGAAATTTAAGGTCTTTTTATGCAGAGAGATTCAAATTATTCAAGGCTTGGTTCTGCAAGGGAAAGCCACCAATATAACGGCGGATCAAATGCTTATGCCTCTAGTTTCCCCAAGGGTAGCGAGCCAAGTACCTCCAGTACTTTGTTAATTAGCCACTCAGATTTGGAAGATTTATCAACGCAACATGAAGCAAGCACAAGTTAATGAAATTTAAGGTCTTTTTATGCAGAGAGATTCAAATTATTCAAGGCTTGGTTCTGCAAGGGAAAGCCACCAATATAACGGCGGATCAAATGCTTATGCCTCTAGTTTCCCCAAGGGTAGTGAGATGTCATCTATGGAGGCGTCAAGGACGACAACTTCCTCTAGGGATGAGGCTTCAATTTCTGTAAGTAATGCTAGTGACATGGAGTCAGAATGGATAGAACAAGATGAACCTGGAGTTTATATAACCATCAGACAATTAGCTGATGGCACTAGAGAGCTAAGTCGTGTCAGATTCAGGTATTTCAAATTCTGCTGTGCCACATTCGTTCTCCTGCCACATAAGATGAAGCATAGGAAATCTGGTGTAAACTGTAAACATTTCTGTGATCAGTCCTTTCTGCTACGGTGCTACCTAATAAAAAGAGACATCAAATGAGAATCTAGAATTATTTTTTTCTGAATCACCTCTTTATATATATGTTTGTTTTTATAAATCTGTTTCATGCTTTCCTCATAATATGTTTTACAATGCATCAACTTTGCTAGGTTGTTTCTTGCTGCTAGTCATTTCATTTTCCTTTTTTTTTTCTTCCTCTTAAGTGAATGGAAATAGCCTCTTGCAGAAATGGAAAATAAGGTTGCGTACAATAGACAATTGTGGTCCGGCCCTTTCCCGGACCCCGCGCATAGCAGTAGTTTAGTGCACCATGCTGCCCTTTTAATGATCATCACTTTACTTTGGTATTTTTTTCCATCTGTAGTATGTTGGTACGACATAAGTCATTTCTGCTACTCCTTTTTCGAAGAGTCTGGACAAGTTTGCATGTAATGGATCATCTTTTAGGATTTCTCAAAGGATGCTCAAATTTGTGTTGAACCTACATGTGTCTTTGCAATTTCAATTGATATTTTTCTAACTTTTTCTTCGTATACTCAGGAGTGAAAAATTTGGGGAGGAGGACGCGAAGCAGTGGCTGGAGCAGAACTGGGAGAGAGTACGAGCTCTATACCTTTAGATCGCGATTTCCATATTACATTGTCAGCATTGTCCACAACATCTCAGGATAATCAAAACGGAATACTTTGCCATCCTGGAAGCAAAGTTAAAATCATCTTCCAATTAAATTGTGGTGATTAAGCAAGTTTCCTACCGAATGTATATAGTGTTCACTGGGGAATGGCTTTATTCCACAGGGCTTCAAGAATTTTCGTGGCATTTCTTGATCTCTAATTATACATGACTTTGCCATACCCATTTCTTCCTTGTTTTGCCTTTCAGTTTTTTAATTTTTTTCTTGGAATTGTTGATGGATGTTTTGAATCTGTTACCAAGTCTCGCTTTCCTATGCAACTTCTAGTGGAAAGGCTATGTGGAGCAAACATTTATATAACAACTAAACCATATTGTGCACAAATCCACAATATCACCAAAACAAAACAAACAGAAAAGGATGAGAAATCTTCATCCTACAACTTTCCTTGAATGGCTTCTTCGAGGAAGAATTATCTTGTGAATGGCCAAGGAACAAGTTAGCTGTTGTACCTTCTCTGACTTTCTCTTGTTTCACCATTTTCAACTATTATATGCTATGTTTCCCTTTGAATCCAATAGAATACAATACTCAGAGCTTTTCTCTCCTTTGTTTTTACATTGGTACCGGAGGTTCGTGCCTATTGGAGTATCTTATCATCCAATTGACGAGGTTTATTTATCTCAAATTGTCATTATTCGATATGGAGATTCAATTTTTTTACCCACAAAGCTTCAAGCTAAAAAGTGAGATTACAAGCATCAAAGCTATTGAAATCATAGAATGACCATCACCTGCATACATCAAAATAATCAGTATAACTATTAATCACGTACCCATTGCAGATTAACTTTAGAAATCTCAACAAAAGTTTAATCCAGAACATATTTATTAGTCCATGGACGAAAAGCATGGTTTATTCTGTTTCACATTCAACTAAACTTGATATTACAACATCGAAAGTTGCAGCACATTTCACCATGAGATGTACTCGGGCATATGCTCAAAATGACAACCCGGGAGCACCGACCCTATCGCGAGGAATCAACCGCAGTTCAGAGCCATGTTTAAGAAAGACATTACCTGAAAAGCAATTTGATGAAAAGAAAAATTATAACAACAGATATAACCAGATTGGGTGCAGAAAGGTGAACAGCATCAGCGCATAAGATTACTTAATCCCGTCAGGATTAAAAACAAACTCTCCGGGTTACAACAGCTAAGGAGAAATAAGTCAAGAAATTCCACTTTACGAGTGCATGCAATAGTAATTAAAGATAATATGCACTGCACTGTTAAAAGAATGTAAGCATGGAGACAGCCAAGTAAGCAAATAAGAACGTTGGTCTGAAACACAAGTAAGCAATAGGCCTTCAAGAATTAAATTACTTGGTAATTAGGCAGGAATGGATAACACGTCAGAAGTCGAGTTTTTCTCAGCAATTGCCAAACACACTTGTGACCACTTATCAGTTACTCCCAAGATCTCCAGTCTTGACTTTAGGGACACAAACAAACAACTTCATCGAAATATCCAAAAGGAAGAAAAAAGAAAGCTAAAACAGACCCCTATTAATATAAATGCAAACACAGAACATTACCAGACTTTAGAAGAATCTATTTTGAAAAACTCGGGCATAGAATTATTCTATATGACAACATGAACTCAGATTTCTCTTGCACTTCTAATATCCACAAAATTCTATACACAATATCTGAATCCTACACTGATCAGAATTTATACAACATTTTCTCCTTGCTTCACCACCTTTGAAAGAAGAGTCAAGCATGACCAGGCATTCTAAGAGTAATGTTTCTTCTTAGTTGGCAAGGCTGCATATCCTGACCAATATTTCCTAAATGCAAAATAACCTTTTGGAGGTGTAGTGGCACGACATAGGGATCACAGGTGGCAGGAAGGACTAGAAATAGAAAGGTCTGATTTTGCTTCTGAAAGTGTTTAGAGGAAGAGGCTTGACGTCAAATTGCTTATATCAAAAGTTATAGGATTGACTTCGTGGGAAAAAATTGGAGGATTAAAGAACTTTACTGGACAATAAAAGTTCTGCAAAGGATTGCAAGACTTGAGGCACTCAGACTATGAAGCTTAGAACATAAAGGGAGAAACAAAAGTCTTTTCCACCAATATATGCACTGAAAAGTCTCTTCCACCAACTTATGAACTACGGAAGTCAAAAAGTCACTTTCCAAATGGATCCACTTAGATAATTCCCATAGAACAGATAAAGAGTTTGCAAAGTACTCGTACCAACAAATCATAATCTAAGAGAGGGTTTCAATTACACTGAATGAGATCAAGGACCATAGTTTACGCAGAAGTATAAACCAACTGTGAAGGATGGTCCTGCACATTATTGTCATGGTTGATACATTAGTAGCCTCTTAATACCTACTGATCGTATGCATACCAGAAGATGGATAAGTGCAGTATTGAGGAAAATGAGTGGATTCATTTTAAATGCCAAGTATGAGAACCTTGAGCCAGGATATTCAAGAAAAAGAAAATAACTCTCAGGCAAAAGCGCTGCACACTCGAATAAAAGATTGAGGAGAAGATGTTGGGAGCTGGCAAGGTAAAAATATGCAACATGGAGAGCAACAAGCAAGCTTGCTCAGCTTCGAGATACTTTCTGTGTCCCATTTTATATGACGGTATTTGATTGGATAAAAAGTTTAAAATGATGTTTTTTAATAGATGGAACAAGAAGTTTAAAATGTTAATTTCAATTAAATATTAGTATATTATTTGTCGTAAAAGAAGATACTAAACAATGGTTGAAACTTATCCTGCTGAAGAAAACAATGTGTCAATGTTTATTCTAGCACTTCTCAAATTATATAATATATAATATTTAAAAGAAAAGGAAAGCAAACTATTGGAATTAAAATTGCATTCTTTAAGTCTTTGACTAAAAGCTTATTCTAGCACTTCTCATTATAAACTTTTTTTGATAAGATAAAAGGTTATTAATAAAGGTACCAAGAAGGTACTCAAATTACAACCAAACAAGACAAACCATACAACAATCTCTAGTTACATATTTCCAAGTGAGTCTAAAAATTCCATATACTTGATCAATACTCTCTAGAATACTCCTTTTACACCAAAAAAAAACAGATTTTGCATAAACTTAGCTTATTGGAATTGACTATTGATTCTTGACTACTTTCAATTCTTTGTTAGCCAAGCCAACTTCGTAACAACTCTACTTATCCACACCCACAAAAATATTATGTTTGTAACAACTCATTTACTGTCATAAACTTCTTATATAAATTGGGTTAAAATCTATTAAAGTTGCAATAATGCTTTTATACCTCCATCGAGAAATTTCCAGTGGAGGCATCACACCATCTCTTCCTGTGACACACCTCTGGCATTTATCAAAAAGCTCAAAGATATTTTCTTTACGCAATCCACAAGTCCTCTAAAATTATATGACCTTTTTTAGTGCACTAGATTTATCACATACGTAGGGAATAAGTTATTCACTACTCCCAATTCCCAGATTGTTTATTATGCATAAAACAAATAAGCATTACAAGCCAAGTAACATACAGGAGGTAACCGTAAAATATTCAATGCAAAGTGTAAACTTACCAGCACTTTGCTGTGGATTAATCCCCACTCCATCTGCAAAATAAGATAAAAAGGAAAGAAAAATAGAGTCAAAACATAGCTTACATTTAGTAAAAACTCATGCCTTTTCTTATAATACTAGCAATAAGTGAAAAACAAATTCCAAATTGTTTTTGCTCCCAAGTTCTCATGAGACTAATGAACAAAATATCATAGAAAAAAGATAATAATAATAATAATAATAATACAAGATATACTATTTTTATAATGGTGGTGTCTTGCCAGCTACCTCCACCAAATACTGGATAACTTTGTCCACAAAAACATTGACAGATGGGAAGAAATAACCTAATGTATTTCTTTCTACTGAAATTTGAGCCTCACACCTAATAGTACTCCAGCCACTTCATTGGCACTAGGCTACACTTTGGGTGCTAAAAATTGCTTTTCCCTTCACCGCATATAAGAAAAAAAATATTTATCTTCTCAATCTCAAAAGTCAAATTTTCAAAGAAGAGCCATTTTTTTCACTAAGGTGAATTACATTACCAGACCCCTAGTGTTAGATAATCCTTAATTAAATAATACAGAAATTTGTAGAGCCAAACAAGCATTTATGATATTGAAGATTCATTCAGTAGACCCCAACGCGTAGTAGTTGTTGTTGCCGTGAATTACAGTATCAGATTATATAAGATTATTAGTAAAACTATGTAATGTTGAATCATTAGATCATTAGAGAAGTTTACCATTAGTGATAATGGCGCTAGTTTGTGGAGGAACTTTGAATTCCTCGGCAGCAAATTTGAGGACAGCTGTGAATGGAGCAGCTTCTGGAACGCTAAAACTGAAAAAAGTAAATCAAACAAGGTGAAAGAAAGAACAAAGAGAAAAGAGAATATCAGAAATCAAAATAATACAGACACTTTGAAGGGCAATTTGGGATCGGAAGTAAGAGTGACTTTGAATGAAACTTTTCCTCCACCACCACCAGCACCGCCGCCGCTCGCCATTTTTGCTCTCGGAGAAAGCGTTACGGGATTGGAGAATGGGGGATTTTATTTTATGGGCGTAGAGAATAAGCAAGTCCAGCACAGCGTACCACGTTGCTCTTTTGTTCTAACAAGGAAAACGGTATTAGTTTGACTTTGACACTTAGAAATAAGGGGTCGTTTGGTTATCCCAGAATTAATTATTTTAGGATTAGTTCTTCTAGGATTATTATCTTATATTTTTATATGGATAAAAATAATAGTATTACAATTCTGAAAAAAAATTGTTCTCGAGATTAATTATATCGCGATTTTATTTTGATCAAACATGCGATAAACTCATCTCAAAATTAATATTTCTTATCCCACATGCCAAACGAGTCCTAAGAGTAAGAGGTCAACCGCATTAGGTATTACTACAACTATATGTATCTCTCACACAATAATATATATGTAATATAGAAAAAATATATAAGATGCACCTCGAATTTATCCTGAAAAATTAGTTTTTGACTCAATCTTTATGGACATTTTTTTCTTATCATATACTTATTCAAACTGAATTTAATTCCACCCAAAAAATTAGAAATGTTCGTCAGTCGGTATGGTACGGTATTTAGACATTTCGATTCAGTATTTTCGGTACTCGATTTCTTAAAATGTTATACCAATAAGTACCTAATTAAATTCGGTATGGTTCGGTTTTTCTCCTTTCGATTGGATTAATCGGTTCAATAACTTCGATTTATTCCGTTTGAATACTAACTAGTACGTAGAGTCATAGAATGTAATATTCTTCATTAAAGTACTCGAAAGTACAAAACTAAAAATGTTTATTGACAAAAGTTTTGTCCAAAACCAGCAAATATCAACCCAGAGATAGAAAATTATACATAAAGGAATAAGTTTGATCATTTGAAATGTCTTGTTACTTGTTTAGAGTTACTTGATGAACTTAGAGAATAAAGGAAAGCAAAATGTTAGATTTTTATAGGCAGAATAGCCTCCGAGCCACCTAAGCTTCTACTTGTTTGTCAACCTGGTAAATAAACTTAAATTTTTCCTATTTGAACATCCCAACTTGATAAAAAAGCAAATATTAAACACCTTCGGTTGAGCATGTCTCTCAATCGCTGTGACATGGCTGACGTATCATATTCTTAGCCTATAATTATTTGACATGTATGATTATTGGATTCAAACTTATTTTTACCAATTTATCAAATATTCTACAAAATAAATCTCTTTTTTTTCTTCTTCTTCGTTGGGCAACCACCCATTAATCTTCCAAAAACACCATCCTTCTCCACTCTAAAGTATCAAATCAATACATAAGCAAAGTCAAAATTTTAACTTATTTTCACTCTCTTCCTTTTCACCTTTTAACTTCAGTTTCATAGTCACTCGTATCACCATGCCTGCTACCTATCTCGTTGGAATTTCTGTTTATCATAACAAGCTTCTCTTATTCCTTTTTGTTTAGCAAAACATTCGAAATCTGTATCATATTCCCTTCAAATAGGAATTTCTTACCCCTGTAAATTGGATTTCATCCATCTGAACTTTTTCCGGTGCTATCGAGCTTGTCGGACTCAATATGGACTTGGGCAGATTTGAAACCTTCCTTACCTAGGTCATTTGTGGTATAAAGTCACTTGACTGATTCGCTAGCAAGCTTGCCGAATTGATCTGACCAACCCTTGATTTCTTTCTTCAAATTCACAATCGCCACCGTCTCCAACCCGGCCATCTGTGTTGTCGAACTACCTGAATCTTGTAGAAAAAGTGAGCTCTTGATATAAATGGCTGGGAGTGATATTTGGGATTGCAAAGAAAATGGTGACGTCTAAGGTGGGTTTTGAAGAAATTAACAGTGGGGGAACAGTGGAGAAGGCAGTGCTTAAGTGATGAGGATTTGGAGAAGATGGAGAGTGCGTGGGGGTGGATTTCCAATTTCTTTTTTATATTTTAGAATTGTTTTACTCAATTAAATTATACTCACGCGCCTAAATAGGGTGAATTGCACACAGTATTGCCACATCACAAATGTGGTTGCCGCATAAGCATAGTCAACAGTCAAAGTGGCTTATTGATGTGTAAGTAATCAAGTTGAGGTGTTCAAATAGAAATATTTTAAGTTTATTTACCGGGTTGAAAAATGGACGCAAATTTAAGTGGCCAGTAGGCCATTATCCTTTTTTATATTTATGTAATAATTAATAATATGTGTATTGTGCAATATAATATATATTTCGGTATGATATCGGTATTTCGGTATTTTATTTTAAAATACCAAATACCATACCTAATACTAATATTTTTTAAAAATTAAACCAAATACCATACCGAATACCAAAATATCACCTGAGGGGTTGACCACTCGATGGGTCATTACAAAGAGGGGGTTCGAGGTAACTAATACTATTACTAGTGATTCCCGTATTGCGGGAAAAACAAAAAGATTGTCCAAGAGGATGTTGCAAACAAAGTGAGGGTTGTGGAGAAATTTCTGAGTGGTCATCTTCCAAAGTTGTTTGGACAAAAGGTGGAGGTTGTGCAAAAACAGTAATGCCTGCAATGCTATCCATGTTGCATCCAGACTTTGCTAGTAAATATGCTACTTGATTATATCCCCTGTATATGTAACATATAATAGGATTATCCAGTCGCGCGAGCAGAAACCTGCAATCTTTTATTATGTTAGCATATAATGGGTGTGAGGTCTGTAATATTGTAGTGACTGTTTGGGCATCGAGGTTCACTTCCAAAGGTTTATAGCCATTGTTAACAACCAATTGCAAACCATGATATAGTACACGTAATTCAGTTTCTACATTTCCATAAGAGTTATGATGCCCGAAAAGCCCATAAGTCAGGTGCTTGCTAAGTTACGTATAACACCACCCATCCCACCCTGACCAGTATCTAATCGCACTGAACCATCAGTGTTTAGTTTTGAAGGCAGTATTGGTAGGGGGTCCCATTTTAGGTGTAGTGGCGTGCGGCTGAGTGAGGATATGGGTACACCTACAATATAAAAAAATTGCTATTATGTTTGGGATATGTGAGGAGGAGAGCAATTTTATAGCTGAACGAAAGACCTTGACATTTCAAGCTAGCCAAATATGCCATAGACAGAAATGTATGAGGGTGTTTGGGAAATGGAGGGAGTTTGGAACATCAGTGTGTAAGATAAACTATTTAATTTTAGCCACTAAACTGGATTATCTACAAGCCTATGTAGTCCAACAATTATCTGGAGCATGTTGAAATCGGACCAAATATGTGCGGTTGTTGGCCAATCGAGCAGGAGATGATGAATAGTTTCCGTATTTGTGCGACAATAGGCATAAGTATCATTGTTGAGTATGCCAAGGTGATGATAGTGTACCGCAGCGGGTAGACAATGATGGCTGCAACGCTAGAGGAAATGTTTGATTTTCGGAGGTATTCATAGTTTCCAAATCCACTTCAGTAGTTGTATGGAATAAATGACGGTAAAGTGATTTTGTGATAAAATTTCCATGTTGTGTGAGGGCCCAAGCGTAAGAGTCAGTGGTAGATGATAGAAGGGATATGGACATTAAGTATATGCTGGAGTATTGAGGTTGGTAGTTCAAAATGGAGGAATATGAAATATCAGTGGCCATTTGAGAGATATGTAGAGACACTATTGCTATCAATATGGCGTTTGAGTGGCCCCGTTAAGGAATTGTGAAGAGACGTGGTGGAGGGTAGCCAAGAATCTTCCCAAAAGTTAATAAGGGTGCAATTACCAATTATCCATTATATCCTTTGTCGGCAAAGGTGCCAACTAGTAGCCAGATTTTCCCATATTAAGGAGCCACTTGTGGTTCTATTCTTTCGGTGGTAGAAATATTTATAAAGTAGTGCGGCAGCCCATAACGAGTTGGGTTGTTGAAGGAGTCGCTAAGTTTGGCTTGCGATTAGCGATTGATCTTTTAGGTGGATTTGTTGAATTCCCAGTCCACCCTATTGCTTTGGAGTGGTAAATTTTTTCCATTTTGGAAGGTGAATATTCTTCGTAGTTGGAGTAGTTCCCCACAGAAAAGTATGCTGAAAACGTTCTAGTTGGTGGATAATGTATTAAGGGAGTTTAGTATATTGCATCACATGGTTGTTAAGGGTGGAATTGATAAGAGTTGTACGTCCGGTCATGCTACAAAAGTTTGTTTTTCAACCAGCAAGCTTAATTTTAAAATTATCAAAAAGGAATTAAAAGTCGCGTTTGGAGGGGGAATGTGAAGATGGAAAATACTAAATATTTTTCAAAGGAGGTTCATTCATATATTGGTAAAGAAAAAAGAATAAAATCTTTATCCTGAAGGGTGCAATTTTTAGAGAAAAAGATTTTTGATTTTTGAAAATTAGTATTTTGAAAATCATTGAGGATATCAATGATGGCACGTCAACTAGAGGTTGAAGTAGTGGATGTAAGAATGATGTCATCGGTGAAGAACAAATGAGATAGCAGTGGTCCATGACGAGATAAATGGATAGGTTGCCAAAGTTGGTAATCCACTGCCATCTCTATTTTTCTAGTTAGTAGTTCCATACATAAGATAAATAAGTATAGAGATAGTGGGTCTCCCTGTCAAATTTAACGCGAGGGGTTGAAAAAAAGAGTGCGAGAACCATTGATATGGATTGACAGGGAAATAGTAGTGATGCAAGACATGACTAATTTAATAAGTGGAGAAGGAAAATTAAAGAATTCTAGAACTTGACGAACAAAAGATCATTTTATACGGTCAAAGGCCTTTTCAGGATCCAGTTTCAAGAGCATGTAACTAGTCTTGCCCGTTTGAGTTTGAAATGTGCTAGAATTTCTTGAACGATGATGGCATTATATGCCACTCTACTATTTTGTTGGAAGATGGATTGAGTAGGGCTGATAATTTTTTACATGAGACGTTTAATGCACTGAACGAATACTTTTATGATTATTTTATAGATAGTAGACAAAGTCCAATTGGGCGAAATTGGGAAATCATGGAAGCATGACCCACTTTAGGGATTAAGCAAAGTTTGGTTGATAGTAACTTATCACCGCTATTTTGGAAAAAATA